CACTCGGGGCCATCTTCCTGATGTATTCATGGATCTTTGTTGTTTCATCCTGGATAGTGGCTCTGACACTCACTAATCCTCGAGCTCCTTCCTTCCACTTAGTGTACAGTCTCAGGATGCTGGACTTGGGGTGAAACCCGCCGTGCATTGTAAGGAGTTTCCTTGTCTTGATGTCAGTGGCCTTTATCTCCTCCTTTGGCCGGTTTGGAGGTTATATATAGATAGATAGATAGATAGATATACACACAAGTAATATTTCACCACAGCATGACTAAAATAATGTACGTTGTTGTTCTCACTTGCTAACTTTGCTAACTTACACACTGTTACAGCATTATTTCTATGACAGTGATGATATTACTTCTCTTCTGACTGGGCTTCCCGAATCCTGTGCTCCTCTTTGCATTGCTATGACACCAGACGGTCACGGTGGAGCCTGAATACAGCACCATTCCTTCATTTATTCACCACGTTTGACTGTCTCTCTCTCTCTCTTTGTCTGTCAGGTGGTGCTGGTTGTCTATGGGCCGTCTTTTGGTTTATTTTTGTGTCAGATGACCCTCGTACCCATCGTCGAATCAGCAAAATGGAGAGAGATTACATCATAAACTCTCTTGGACCTCAGGTGCACATGAAACATTAGCAGATGTTTTATTTACTGCCACAAGCATCTCACATATCTGCTTTATGTTGGCTATAGTGTCGCTGGTTAAAAACTGAGGAAGCAGTAATAGGGAGAACAAATTAGACAAAAAGTAGCTGATTAAAAAACCCTTGTTTCCTACAGCTTTAAATCTTTTGTACATTCACAGCATTTGTTTAAAATATATTATGAGTTCACTATTTCAGTTTTTTGTGTTGCTATATAGTTCGTAAGCTGCTAAGAGTGTGCTTTATCTGATCAGTTGGGATGGGACAATATATCAAAATTCAATATCATATTTTACTTCCTATGTTTTGTAAATAAGATGGCCTAACAGAACACAAGTCGATATATCTGGTTGTTCTTCACATAATCAAACCAGTTCTAGAAAAGGACAAAAAAAGAGGAATAAAGTGCAAGTATTCAACAGCTGGTTATACTTTGTTGTTCTGAATTTTTTATTGTATTTTGAATGAATTGAATCGTACAGACCATATCGTGCATCGAATCGTATCGAGAAAAAGCCATATTATCCCATCCCCACTGATCTGATATATTGCTGCTCACAGTTTTGTCAAACTTTGCTTCAGAAAACAAAACACCATTTAGTTTTGTTATCAACATATCTGCCAAATCAACATTACATAACTGGCCTGTCCCTCTACTCCAATCAGAAAGTTTTTCTGCTTGCAGGGTAGTTTTATTCTCCAGTTCCCATATCAGGCTTCCTCTTTCTATTTACTTTTTCTTTCTCTGACTTCACTTCCCCTCAGCTGTCCTTTTAGTTGTTTAGCTTTTGGGTGTGGTTTTATCCTTGTTCATTTTATCCTTATGCCAAAAAGCCAATATACCTTTACAAAGTAAATAATATCTCACAGTTGCCTTTATTCTTACATAAAAAGTTTCCGTGCATGCGTATGTATCTTACCATTGAGTAAACATCCCCCTCAGTATTAAGGCTTGTAAAATTATGTCATTGCCAAATGTGGATTTCTTTTCTCCCTGTAGGTGTGACCTTTTTGTCATTTATTGTATGTGTAGTATGTTTAAAGATTTTGTTGTTTAATCTGAACTGAAAACACAGGGCACAGGTCATGGCTGGTCCATGCCGGTGCTGTCTATGATGCTGTCTGTCCCTCTGTGGGCCATCATCATCGCGCAGATGTGTTCAGGCTGGGGCTACTACACCCTGCTCACCTCTCTGCCCACATACATGGACAACATCCTGCACTTTGACCTCAAGTCGGTGAGGCGTCAATTCATTGTGTCATGAAAATGTATATCAAAATTGACCTCTGCTTTCTTTGTGGAGGAGGTGGGTGAGAGGAGTACCAGCAACTTTTCACCACAGACTCAGTCTTTGCTTTATAAGATTGTGCTAGTTGGTTTCTGTCACTCATCAGCACTGGAAGGAAAGAAAATTAAAGGAATAGTTTGACAAGTTAGCCAATACTGTAGGTTTATTCATTTAAAACATGAGTGGTGGGTGACAGCTCTTAAGATTATGCTGTAATCTACTAATTTACCAATCTCTTAAAAGTGAACAAGGACGGACCGTGTTTATTCTCTTTCTTTACTTCCCCAGGGTCACAAACATTTGAATGAATCTGTCTGTCTCTCTCTAGAACGGCTTCCTGTCCGCCCTGCCGTACCTCGGTGGCTGGTTAATCTCCATACTGTCGGGATTTGTGGCTGACAACCTCATTGAGAGGAGGGTGTTCAGTGTCACTGTCGTACGCAAGCTCTTCACCCTCATAGGCGAGTGAACTACATCCTCGGATCCTCTTACATACGTGTGCATGCGCTCCTGTAAGTGGGGGATTGGTTCTGTGTCTAGTTGACTGTCACAGGACACAGGATGCAGGTTTTGAGGAAGTTAATGGCATTCTGTGAAGTGGTTTACTGTTTGACTTCAATATTTACTGTGTGATCTGTAATCCCATGTTCACATTGGTCCTGGACTGCTTTGCTTTAAAAACACTTTTTTAGCCTCTAACTTCATGTCACACTGTTCCCTCTTTATTTCTACGTTGCTGCTCTAATGACGTTGGCAGCTGTATTATTAATAAGAACATCTGTTCATGAGGAGGTGTGCATTTATGAGATTTGATTATTAGCATAATCAAAGTCCCCTAAAGTGCCATATAATGATATCTATGCTGTTTGATTAGTGGGAAAGTCTCATTCAGAAAATTGTCTGCTGCCAGAAATCAGCATAAAAAACAGTCAGTAGTCGTATTAGAGGAGCCCAAACAATTACATCGTGTTAATAGTGCATGTGTCAGGGTCGAGCAGAACAACCCTCTGCAACAGAATTAAAGAGGGAGTAGTTCAGGCTACATGAAGTTAATACACTAAAAACTGGAGCGGCACCGTCCTGGAGTGACTTGAAAAACACACACTCAACCAGTGATGTTTTCTTAACAAATGCTGGTATTTTCCTCCTTTTTAACATCCCATCTCCTCCCTCTGCAGGTATGTTGCTGCGTGCAGCTTTCTTCGTGGCCGTGAGCTACGCTGGCTGCAGCCACATCCTTACCGTCACCTTCCTCACACTGTCCATAGCCACAGGAGAGATCAGTGGCTCCGGAGTCTTCATCAACCAGATAGACATCGCTCCTCGGTGGGTGTTACCATCTCTCTCTGCTCAGAAATGTTCTCAAATGAAATGTTTATTTGTACCAGGAACTATTCTCATTACTAGATAAGTGTGAGATGGCAGCCGCTATATCCACGATATTTTGGCTTCACTTCTGTGTAGTGGTGACGCCATGTCCATTATATACGGTATAGAGTCAGTGGTCACACTGTGCAGATTAAGGCTGACTGTCAGCGTGATACAATTCAGTAGCTGTAATACAATATACAGTATAACTTCATGGAAAATAGTCTAAATGGAGGGTTGACTTCCTATCGCAGGTTCCATTTGGGGTCCCAGTCGGCAAAATACATTGATTTGTTAAGCTGAGATGCAGCAGCAGTAGGATACAGACAGGAAATCTTGGAGCATGAGAGAGGTCCAACATGCAGCTTAACCTCTGGGCTACATGGACATCAGGCTTCTCAGTTTTAGTCGTATTGACCATTTATTTCTCTGCTCAAACCAGCTGATGCCACCTGTGGTGGTTTTATCAACTGTAGCTAATGAGTGTACTGAAACTTTAGTCTGTTTGTTAATGTGCTCTCTCTGAGCCACTGACTAGACTCTGCCAAAGATCGTATGCGAGGGAAATGATGCGTCACTCTGTAACATGCCTCTACAGCCCCCAGTGAACTGTGTTGTTGTAGTTCAGCAGAGTGGAAACTAGATCAGCTGATCATTACATCCATGGGACTGCCATTTGTTTTTTTATTTTCAAATCATTAAGCTCATAGTTGTACATCAACAGCTCCAGTAGTTGATCGACTAGTTTGTGACAGGTCAGGTATAAACAGGTCAGGTCAGTTTTTTCCAGCTGTTATTTCAGAACAATTAAAGCTTCTTATCTTGGAGCTACAAGATGTGAAGACTTATTAGACTGGCTTAATTCATATTAATGTTCAACGATTTAGTAGCTGGAACTGTAGTACTTTGGGCTTCTCACCCAAAATCTTTCATTTGTAGTCAGTTAGTAGCAAATGCTGAAAGTTAAACCCCTTCTTTTCCAGAAGGGGGACTGGAGGGTGTGTTCCAACTATAGGGGATCACACTCTTCAGCCTCCCCGGGAAAGTCTATGCCAGGGTACTGGAAAGGAGAATCCGACCGATGGTCGAACCTCAGATTCAGGAGGAGCAATGCGGTTTTCGTCCTGGCCGCGGAACACTGGACCAGCTCTATACCCTCTTCAGGATGGTGGAGGGTTCATATGAGTTTGCCCAACCAGTCCACATGTGTTTTGTGGATCTGGAGAAGGCATTCGACCGTGTCCCTCGCGGCGCCCTGTGGGGGGTGCTCTGGGAGTACGGGGTCCGGGGCCCTTTGCTAAGGGCTGTCCGGTCCCTGTACAACTGGAGCAGGAGCTTGGTTTGCATTGCCGGCAATAAGTCAGACTTGTTTCCGCTGCATGTTGGACTCCGGCAGGGCTGCCCTTTGTCACCGCTTCTGTTCATTACTTTTATGGACAGAATTTCTAGGTGCAGCCAGGAGCCGGAGGGAGTCGGGTTTGGGGACCACAGGATCTCGTCTCTGCTTTTTGCAGATGACGTTGTCCTGTTGGTCCCATCAAACCAGGATCTCCAGCATGCACTGGGGCGGTTTGCAGCCGAGTGTGAAGTGGCTGGGAGAAGAATTAGAACC